TAATTTAACTTCTATAATTGAATTGGAATTTTTTAGCTTCTGTTTTTGAAACATGATAACTCTTATGTAGCGATGGAGTCATATTTAAAAAAATAATTATATATATATATATATATATATATATATATATATATATATAAATAAAGAGAGAGAGAGAGAGAGAGAGAGGGAAAAGATATTAAAAAGATAGATAAATAGAGAAATATGAGCAGACTGACAAATATAAAATTAGGTAAATGAAATAACTAGATATTAGTCATCGTATACGCGCGTGCTGGTGTGCATACACTGGTATGCAAATAAACAATTAGCAAATTTTTTCAGGAGGTGTAAACATAATAGTGCTCGATGTGGTTAGACAGCACTAAAGCTATATCTTGTGCCCGAGGAGTTGGATAACCAACGAAACTTGTCACACAGCAAACGTAGGTATTTATTAATATATATATATATATATATATATATATATATATATATATATTGTATATATATGTATTTATATATATGTTATGTAAAATATATATAAATATATATATATATATATATACATATATATTGGTAAAATATATAGAAAATAAAAGTTCTTTAGGTAAATTTTCTTATTTTTTTAAAAAAATAGTGCTCGATACAAAAGTATAATTATTTATTTAAAATATGATTCCAACGCTACATAAGAGCGTTGGAATCATATTTTAAATAAAATTATATATATATATATATATATATATATATATATATATATATATATATATATATATATATATATATATATATATATATATATATATATATATATAGATAGATAGATAGATAGATAGATAGATATATTTTATACGATTTGCATTTCACGATGTGAACGTCAGGGGAGATAACTAAATTATGATATGTCCAAATCTTGTATTTTTTTTTATAACTTCTCAAAACTATTAGTTAAAACCGAGATATTTTAAACTATTTAGTGTAAATTTTTGGTGTTTAAAACATTTTTTATTTTATTTTATTATTTTTATTGAAAAAGTATATATATATATATATATATATATATATATATATGTTCGACATAGAGCCTCCTTGGATCTTTATCTTCTTGGAAATTCCATCCGATTACCAATTTAATATATATATATATATATATATATATATATATATATATATATATATATATATATATATATATTTAACCAGTAGAAAAATTTTTATGATTTAAAATGACAATAGGAAAACTAGTAATTGCTGACGCGTTTCGTCAATGTGGACTTTATCAAAGCAAATACGAAATGAAATTAATTTATTAGTTACCTTGTTCAATTAATTTCATTTCGTATTTTGCTTGATAAAGTCCACATTGGACGAAACGCGTCAGCAATTACCAGTTTTCCTATTGTCATTTTTATTCATATATATATATATATATATATATATATATATATATATATATATATATATATATATATATGGATAGTCAGTGAGATATATAGATAGCTCTATGTCAGTGAGAGAGCAAAATTATTAATTAGTGAATATCAAACACTTTTGAATTCAGAGTTTTCCTTCTCCTAGACCGGTTGCCCCCCAAGATTATAGAACACAGTCTGTCCTGCAATTTACTTATAGCTGGTAGAGAATAGGAGGATTCTTACCTTTCCCAAGGCTACTAGCACGTAAGTGAATCTAATGGAACCGACTGGAATCCGAACTCGGCTCTCCCATTCCTCAATTCATTATTCCACCGTGTCTCCCAAAATGAATAAAACATGTAATATAAACATGTAAGTAAAGAGAAAATAATGACATAGTCTAGATGTTGACAAATAAAAGGCTGGAAAGGAAACCCCTTTCAACACCGGAAAGAGCGCTAACAGTTACTGGACTCGAGAAACCTAAAACTAAAAAAATTCGAGTCATGTTCTTAAATTGCCTTGTCAGATTGAAACATTTAGATGGTTTTTATGCATGGAGCCAATCTCGGTTAGAAAAATGTAAACTCTAAGATGTATACAACCATTTTCTTAAACTAGATCACCTGAGAACTTTCAGCAGCAACAACTAAAATGTATATCACATGTAGCTCGAAGAGAAAATAATGGACAATACAAACATATCAAAAAATAGGCATCCTGGGTATGACGATAAACTACATCCGCGTCCTGGGTAAGACGATAAACAACATCCGCGTCCTGGGTAAGACGATAAACTACATCCAACAGCAAGGCCTCTGATAATACGTTTTTGAAAAAATAATGTTGCAAGCTTTACGTTTTTTAAAAAATAATATTATCAGCTATATGTTTTTTAGGAAAAGAATATTAAATTTTTGACAAAACAAAAATATTACCAGGAAAAAAAAGTTGTCGGCATTAAATGACCCATTGAGGTTGATATGCTGTAAAGCAAAACAAACAAAACCAATCAAACAAAAGGTTAGGAAGGCAACCCCCATCAATACTGGAAAGAGCGATAACAGTTACTGGACTCGAGAAACTAATTTTCCTGACAAATAGAAAGATTTTATAAATTTCAACCAAAAGTAGCACTGGCTGTTCGGTCAATGAATGCCGAACGTTTCCTTATAAGGAAACGGTTAAATTTACTTTTGATATTATCATTAAAATCAGCTCCAAGAATAGTCTTAGTATACTCAGGGGGGGGGTTGCTTACATTTAATCTATATGGGTCACTAGTTATTATTGGTGTGAACACTTAGTAAATTTGAAAGAAGACGACTCTAGATTGCTGTCTTATCTAATGTTCGAACTGGACCTCTTCGCAAAATATTAAATTTCCCTGAAAACGTCATGCAACAAATATATGTGTCTTCTTCCCAGATTTATTCAACCTCTACAGCGACGATATCTTAAGGAAACTGGAGACCCTACCAGGATTTATTATTGGTGGCCATAATCTTGACAGTATAAGATACGCAGATGACACAGTGCTGATGGCCGACTCGCAAAGAAAACAAGATGGCCTCCTAGACACGGCGGTAAAAGAAAGCGAGAAAAAAAAGGACTAACAATCAAATTGGAAGAAGACAAAAATTATGTTCATGGGCAAGAGAAAAATCTTAAGATGTGAGTTACAAATTGGAGATATAAACAAGTGCAGAAGTTTAAATATCTGAGAACTGTTTTAACTGAATATGGAAAATGCAAGAGAAACGGAACGATTTCGTTAGGGAGAAAGAAAACAGTGCTGGATTACGACGTGTTATAAATTCTCTTTTATGACAGTGAATACTGGACAATCTCCCCACGGATGAAGGGAAAACTAGTAGAATGTAGCTCTACAAAAGGATACTGAAAATTCCATGGACAGAGCGAGCAAGCAACAAGGAAGTCTTAAAGAAAATGGCAACAGAAAGTACACTTCCGGTTAGAATCAGTTAAAGACAATTAAAATCCCTTGGACACATAATAATGGAGGGGGGGGGCTTGGAAAATTAAACTCTTATGGGACATTTTGAGAGCGAGAGAAATAAGGGAAGGCAGCGAGCCATTTCTGACGAGGTTGTGTTAATCTATGGCAAAATGGTTGGGGGGGCAAAGAAAAACAGTTTACAGCCACATGAGATAGGAAGCTGTGAAGAGTTTAATAATCGCTTTCTTCATGAAGAAGAAGAAGAAGAAGAAGAAGAAGAAGAAGAAGAAGAAGAAGAAGAAGAAGAGGAGGAGGAAGAACAAGAAGAAGAAGAAGAAGAAGAAGAAGAAGAAGAAGAAGAAGAAGGAGGAGGAAGAAGAAGAAGAAGGAAAAGAAGAAGAAGAAAAAGAAGAAGAAGGAAAAGAAGAAGAAGAAGAAGAAGGAGTAGTAGTAGTAGTACTAGAAGAAGAAGAAGAAGAAGAAGAAGAAGAAGTCTGGTGATTTTAGATTTAAAGGATTTACCTTCTGGACATTTCATTTTAAGTTTAATCCCCGAAAGGGCAAAGATCTAATTGAGTTTCACCAACTCAGCGCGGATAGGAAGATCTCAAACAACTCTCTATCATATGAATCAGCGTTCCTATTAACACGCTCACGAGTACAATGGGCACTTATCTGGGACTTTCGGAATCGAATATATCAAGCGTTACAGTTAAGAACTCGTGAGAGAATGTCTCCTCTCTGATCCTATCCATCTTATTTCTTTCTCTTTCCCTCCCCTTCTCTCTCTGTCACTCTCCCTCTCTCTCACTTATCCCTATCACCCTCTCTTTCGCATTGCTTCTCTATCGCAATCTACGCATGTTCATCTCTATCTATAAAAGGCAGAATGTGTGTGTGTGTGTGACGAATGCACGGCCGCAATTTTCGACGGATTTGCCCCAAAATTTACATGCACATGCTCCAAATTAGCGGGAAGGCCAGGACCGACTTTGCATTTCCCAATTCCCATCGATAGTGGAAATAATCGATTTGTCATGCATCTACTGCAGTTTTCATGTAGTTTGAGGACATTTTGTATTGGTCAGAGTGAGAGCCTATAGCTGGCTGCCACGAATAGGCAGGAAGATTCTATTGGCCAGCGTGAGAGACAACAGTTGACTGACACGAATGTTAACTAGAATGCAAAAAAAAAAAAAATCGATAGCTGCATTCGTCACAAGTGGGAAAAATTTAAATCTGCATGGCACTTTACTCCATTTGGCTCATTCGCTTGTTTAAACTCAACGTTGATTCTGATTCTGCAGAACTGGGTTGGGTGTGAAAAAGTATTTGTTGTTAACATTCTTTTTTTCATTCGGTTTTCCAGTTACGAGTCCTTTTTAAAAGCTGATCGTTTTGTGTTCATTTTGTTTAGTTCTTTTTTCGTAACAGATTTAATGTTTAGTATAGAGCTTAGAAAAAATTCGCAGTGTGAGATAGGCAAGAAGTAAGACATGTAGCAGCACGGCAAAAGGCACTCTTTTAAAGGCAAGGAAGGGCAAACATATTTTAAGTCAAGTGATAGCGATTGCTGTATGAGTCGTACGATTTTTAAATCAAGCTTGGGCAACGCCGGGCCATGCTGCTAGTACTATATATTTAGAAACACTTGTTCTCCTATGATCACCGAAGTTAAGCAACGTCGAGCCTGGTCAGTACCTAGATGGGTGTCTGCTTGGGAACACCGGGTGCTGTAGGTTTGGGGGTTTGGGTTGTGCAGTGGATAACGGCTTGGAATTTGAAATTGGGAAGCTGTGTTCAAATTCCAGTTGGATTCATTAGATTCACTTACGAATGATTAAATAAGAATCCATCTCTTCTCCCTCCAGCTATGGGTTAATTAGTAGTACTTGTATCAGTAAATCGTTATTATCTCCAAAAAGTTATTGCAATCCAAAAATATTTTCTGGTTTTAAAATAATCTGTAAAAGGTTGATAAGCCATAAAAATGAAACCAATCAATCAAACAAACTTATCGATTTAAACGTGTTCATAACCGGAAGTGCCAAAAAATTAGATGGCTACCTAATATCGTGTAGTTCGGAGACATATTGTTTGCAAATAATTATCCGTGAACCCCAAGAGTACATTTTTAGAGCAAAAACGGCACAAATGCATCCCAAAAGAGGTATGTCTTAACAGTGACTTGTAGAGGTTTGCTGATGTTTGGTGATGCCCAGGGCCAAATTCTTGATTATATGCCCCTAAGACTCAAGTAGGGGGTGTGTGCTATAGAGCTAAGTACTGAGATATTATGAGAAAGGAAGAGATTTTAAATATGTAAAAACAGATGAAACATGAAAGAAACACTTTATTCAAATTAAATATAAACTAACTTCTTATTTTACTCATTCATTGGATACACTCTCGATATGGATTCCCTGGGCCATCGCTCCTTCCGCCCTTCTCCTGCAAGCTCTTGTGTCTTAATAAAAGAGTGTTTGTGCATATTTTTGGCATGTTTAAGCAAGTGTCAACCATTTTTTAATTAATTTAATTTTTTGATGAAGAAAGGTTTAGATTTGCTCCTTGATATATTGCAACGCTCTACTTAGCTCTGGTCCTTCCTCAGCTGGTATATATATATATATATATATATATATATATATATATATATATATATATCATATATATAGAAAATAGGAAAGAACTCGTTAGGTGAATAATCCAAAGTTCTTTAGTATATTTGTTATTATTTTTTAAAAATAGTGCTCGATACAAAAGTAGAGCATAAATATAATTATTTATTTAAAAATATGATTCCAACACGTTACATAAGAATTCTCATGTTTCAAAACAAGAGCCGAAACAGGAACAGAGCTTAGTACTTTAATTCAATTTAATTCAAATAATTATATTGAAGTTTTCGGCTCTTGTTTTGAAACATGAGAACTCTTATGTAGCCTGTTGGAATCTTATTTTTAAATAAATAATTATATATATAGAGAGATTAGTTGAATAAAACCATGAGCCAGGAAGACGGAATTTTCCGTACACAGTCAGTCGCCGAATTTATTCTGATAAACGCAAAAATTTTACTATTCGGAAAAAAATCACTCGCGGACCGCACTTGATTGTCCCGAGGTCGATGGGCCTGTATTTTGTAAGGACCCGGTACACATCATTTCTTCCTCTGAATAGCGATGGCTTCTCGACGTGGCTTGGAGTCTAAAAAGTGCTGGAGTCGTTGCGACGGTATATGTATTCTGCAACGTTACAGCGCCGTATTTCTCAGGTATTTGTTTATCCCTTGTTCTCTGATTAGAATTGGGTTTCCAATTCGTTCTAAAGTCTTTTCATTGTCTTTCACTCGCACTAAGAACTTGCGTTTTAGATCTCGCTTTGCATGGAGTGAATCGAATAAAAAACAAAAACAAAACAAAAAAACAAACAAACAAACAAAAAACAAAACAAAAAGGTATGTTCATGGGAATTTAGTGAAGCCTGTAACATATTTTTTTGTAACATAATCATTTTTTTTTCATAAATCAGTTTTCATAATTCAGCCTATGACGCTTTTGGACATTTGATTGAAAAACGTGTTGTCGTCCATTGTCGCCAAGAAAATATGGGCAATCCCCATTCACAAGTCTGGGATGTTTCTTTTTCAAATTTCCGTGCGTACACTCAATTTCTCCACAATATGAAGTTGTTGTCATTGTTTTCCCCTGAGGCAAGATGGAATAATAAATAACCCATTTGAAAGACCAGCACACAGTAAGGATTAACTTTTTAGGGTCCAATGGAGGTTTTGGGTATTGTTTTTTTTTATTCACTTGCATCTAACCACTGGCCTATTCTCTTACTGTTCTTAAAGGGTATCCTTTTCTCATGGCATGTAATGATTCAATGCAAAAATGGTTCTTTTTCTCTTTGTACTCATAAAGTAAGATTACTCGACATTGTTTCATTGTAATCATTTTCATTGGGCTTATGAGTAAAAATATATTGAAAGAAAAATTATCTGGAAAGAAAAATGGTCACTCAATATGGAAAAGGTGAGAGCAAGAAGGCGCAGAAAGACACTCTCGTAAAGTTAAAAGAACTGATCCGACGTGTAAATTTTCGGGGTAACAACTGAGATATTACTCTACTTATTGAACTATTTAGTTCATGCCACATTGACTGATAAAGTCATAAAACAAAAACATTCTCAAATTGCCTTTTTAGTAAAAACGCACTCACTTAAATTTTCAAAAAAAAAAAAAAAAAAAATCAACCTGCACGCTCTAAAAGTTTGTATCCGTTATCAATAATACATTAACTCCCACCTAAAAAAAAACCCAACATATTTCGATTCGCATTATATATTTTCGTCTCGGAGGCTACCTGAATTTTACCAAAAACAAAATAATTTCCATGCCTGAAGATGACTGAATATACAGTCGAAAGTACCTGCGTATTTAAGAAAGATCTAATACAGCTTATAATTAAAAAAAAAAAACAAGGATCATAACATTCATCGAGTGATTAGTAGGTTAAAGCATCTTTAAAATTTTGTTAGCGAAGGGATTTCGCCATTTTATATCATTAACTTTACTAATTTACGTTTTGTATGAATGATTCATATATATATATATATATATATATATATATATATATGTACTGCGAGCAGAAAAAGTAGATATGCATTAATTATTATATCAGTATTGTAATACTGGTTCTAGAATTCATTTAATTTATTAAAATCATTTTTAATATTTTTATTTTCATAATTATTTTTTTCATACATTTATTATAATTGTTATTTTTTTAATACATAAGAAGAACAAATGTTTTGCAGGTAAGGAGGATTGAGGCAAACTGTTTGAACACTTGAGAGATCGATATGTTAATTATTGATACGTTTATTATTCATATATTATTATTGATATGTCTGTAAAATCAATACGTTTTGTGAGCACATTTTGTTTTTTATTACAGTATAACTACTTTTGCATTTCGCAGTATATATATATATATATAGATATAGATATAGATATGTGTGTGTGTGTGTGTGTGTATCAATCAACACATCAACACAGATATAATGACAATATTTTCCACACGTGGCAAATACTGACGTTATTTTCAGTTAACAATATGAAAATAGCGTTTCTCTACATTCCAGTTGCTTGGAACATTCTGTTTTTTGTTTTTATTAGTTACCTTGTTCAATTAAATTCATTTCGTATTTTGCTTTGAGAAAGTCCACATTCGACGAAACGCGTCAGCAATTACTAGTTTTTCTATTGACATTTTTATTCATAATTATATATATATATATATATATATATTATTATTATTATTATTATTATTATTATCATTAATTAATGACTATCAAACACTTAGATTATCATAGGTAATAATCTTTATTTCCAGAAAGCTATAAAATAGTGTTCAACCTTTTAGACCTATTTTTATAGCTATCATGAAATAAAGATTATTACCTATGGTAGTTTAAGTGTTTGATATTCATTAATTAATAATTTTGCTCTGTTTCAGACAGAGAACTCTCCTGATCTTTATCCTCTTGAAATTCCATACGGATTACCATTTATATATATATATATATATATATATATATATATATATATATATATATATATATATATATATACACACTTTGAAGTCTGAAAATACAAAAAGGGACAAGTACTGATATTACCGTACACACACTCTCTCTCTCTTCTCTCTTACACACACACACACACACACACACACACACACACACACACACACACACATATATATATATATATATATATATATATATATATATATATATATATATATATATATATGTCTGTGTTCCTTAAACGAGCCAGTGAAGCTATAGCAAGTGGGTTCGGTGTGAATTCTGCAGGACCTTTGAAGTTTGTTTTTGGCAACGGTGTCTCGGGTGGCTGGTGGCAGAGGGTGGATAAAGGGTGTGTTTCACGTCTACTTAGAAACAACAACAGATTAGCGCCCCCGGTCGCTGTGTGTGCAAACAACCACCGATAATCAGCGAGTCACGCTCCGAGGATTTCCAAAAAGTCGAACACTGCAGACTCCCCATTCAGCAAATTGAACTCTCACGACAAGCGCATCCTCTCATACAAATTTCAAATCTCTCTCTCTCTCTCTCTCTCATTTACTCAGTTTATCACTTTCGCTTTCTCTTCTGTCTCGCCTCGTTTATACCAGTCAGCATTTTTATTCGGTTCTTTCTTTTTCTTTCTCTCACCCCACTCTCCCCCACTCTGTTGTATTTATCTACTTTTTTTCTTCTTTCAGGGTTTTATCTTTATTCTTTGACACTTTTCGTCTGCTTCTCTTGTAAAATTTATCATTTCCTTTCTCTCTTTGCTTCTCTCTTTCATTTTATTTTCTCTTTCTCTATCTTCATGATATTATTTCTTTCTCTGTTTTCATTCTCTCTCTCTTCCCGTTTACAGCTTTCTTTTCTCATCTTTTCATCAATGTTTCGCTATCTATTTCTCTTTCACTCTTTCTGTCTCTCTCCATTTCGTTCTCTCTCTCTGTCTCTGTATCACTCTCTCTCTATCTATCTATCTATCTATCTATCTATCTCTATATATATATATATATATATATATATATATATATATAAAAGTCTTTCATGCTATATGCAATCGGTGGCCTAACGATTACATATAGCATGAAACAGACTGTCGCCTCTAAGTGTTGACTTCTATGTTCACTTTTATATTTACACACGCTCTATCTCTGATATTGAGCACTTTATCCCATAAATATAGCACACCTTAAGACTATATTTCTTTATATATATATATATATATATATATATATATATTGGAAAAATTGTTTTAAAAAAATTGTTTAAAAATTGTTTAAACTGGGTCGGTGGCAGATGTGAAAACACTATCGCGTGCTCGTTTACGCCGTTCAGCTGAAAACATTGTTGCAGTGCTCGAGAATGTGGCCGAAAATCCAGACCCCCTCTACTCGTCATCGCCCGCAGGAATTGAACCTCTCCACCACAACCTTACATTGTTTCCAATTGCACTCTCGGTTGGTCGATTATGTTGACCCAAAAAATCACGAAGTGCACGAAATGCATTTCTGTTTGAACGCCCATTTTCAGAATAGGCTTCGATAACTTTAACACGTTTGATTGTTAATCTTTCCATGGTTGAAATTGCCAAAGACTTAAGCTGTTAAATCTGAAAGAAAAAAATCATTAGACGCTTAAACTTCATTCTCATTTAAAAAAAAATCCTTTTATATATATATTTATATATATATATATATATATATATATATATATATATATATATATATATATATATATATATATATATATATATATATATATATATATATATATATATATATATATATATATATATCTGAGATGAGGTATTATGTACATTATTTACATTATTTGGACTGTTGTCGCCATATTTATCACAACGTTTCCTCAAGGACACATGGCACAGTGGATAAAGGCGTTGGTTAGATCCAGTGACAGGACACAAAGAGTGTGAGTTCAATACCCGGTTAAGGCAGTGGATAACTTTTCAGAGGGAAATTAGCAGGAGATAACTGATAACTGACATCCATCAAACATGGCACGTGGAACTAGAACAGTCTACCCAGAGAGCGAAATAAAGGGTTCAGTTCAAAATTTCAACCACCTGAAGAAGGCCGGAGCATACAACGGCCGAAATGTTGTGATAAATATGGTGACAAAGATGAGGACAATAGTCCGAATATTGTAAATAATAATATATATATATATATATATATATATATATATATATATATATATATATAAGTAGTGAATAGCGGCTCGGTTTGAGGGTATCGGAGAGCCGAGTTTGAATTCCAAATGAATCCATGGCATTTACTTACATGCTAATAGTCTTCTTCTCCTTACAGATATGGGTAAATAGCAGGACAGGCTGGGTTCTATAACCTTGGATGCCAACTTCGGCCCTTCAAAAGGTGTGGTTGGTTCTGCACAAAGCCTTCACCACTATAATCAAATTGTCGGTTCCTCGGAACTGAGCTGCTTGACACTCATACGTTGAATACGACAGGAGAGTTCACTATATATATATATATATATATATATATATATATATATATATATATATATACGACATATCAAAACACTTTTACAATTTTTTTTTACCAAAACTAGTATAAACCTCCATATAAACATAAGTCCGCAAATCCTTCGTTGAGTTATTAAGTTTAAAGAAAGTTTACGGTAGATGGCCCTGTGTTACTATAAAGACTAGGTTACATTTGTCATTCGTGTACATTTGTGACTAGTCTGTCTTCAACGTATAATGTGTGCATTTGTGAATTAACTGAGATGTATTCCATTTAATAATGACAGAATATTCATATCTTGAGTAGAATATTCACATCTCCTTGTAAAGATGAACTGAAGGTAAGGATTATGGCAGCATTCACCGACTTAAAGTGGGAGATCATTCACAAGAGTTGCAGGAAATTCCGAAGTCGTATTTCAAGATATTTTGGTGTTATTTTGCTAAATGTATCTGTTAAAATGAGATGTTAGTGTTATTGGGTTCCTGATTGGGGTCCTCGATCAGTGCTTTGTGACCCTCACTCACTTGTCAACATTTGCTTTTTTTTATACTTATACTTATATGTTACAAATTTTACTAAATACAACTGACTATTAAAGGATGAAAAATTGATTTTTTTTTCGTTTCGAACAAACGCCATATCAAATTCACTATTTTTTACCCACAATGTTCAAAGTGTCGAAAATTAAAATTCTTCAACTTTTTAACAATAAAAATCTCAAGTTGATGTTAAAAAATTGCCGCAAAACATTGTTGATTTATTTAAGATGGAATGATCTATTATGACATGTCTCTAATTTGTATTTAGATACATTGAATTTATTTTCAATTTTTCTAGTTGACTTGTTCACCTATATTGCATATGACACATAATATGCAATAATTTGGTTATACTAAATTTGTATTTTATATGAATACTATCTAATGACAATTGAGATTTAGCAGAGGTTGGAGAACGTATCATAGATTCGGTGGGACCCACAATACCCTTCCACCGTCCCTGGTAACACACACACACACACACACACACATATATATATATATATATTAAAAATATACTTTTAAGGTATGCTATATTTATAGGTCAAAGTGTTCAATATCCTGTGTAGAGCGTGTCTAAATATAAAAGTGGACGTTGAGGTCCATGAGCGCCGATAGTCTTTTTCATGTTTGAACGTTATCTATCTATCTATCTATCTATCTATCTATCTATCTCTATCTATCATTTTTAAATCCGACTTTGGCAAGGTCAGGACTGTTTATGTTCTGGGACATAATTAGTCAAGAAAATAAACTCAAACATAATTTTACACACGCACACACATCTCTGTCTATCTGTTTTCTCTCTCTCATCTCTCTCTCTCTATATATATATATATATATATAGAGAGAGAGAGAGAGAGAGAGAAGGGGGGAGAGGGAGAGAAAGAGGGAGGGGGTGTTTGTGTAGGCGCGTGCGTGTGGATGCCTACCTATATATCATAAGTATATATCTATGAAAAAGCAATATATATAAAATCTGTATGCATGTGTGTTTGGCCCTATTTTGATGCAGGGAATATCTATCTATCTATCTATCTATCTATCTATCTATCTATCACAGTGACTATTCATATCTATCACAGAGACTGTTCATATCTTTCTATTTACCTAACCAGCCATCACTATCTATCTATCTATCTATCTATCTATCTATCTATCTATCTATCTATCTATCTATCTATCTGTGTGTGTGTGCTTGCGTGTGTATATCGTGAATTTAGACAGCAAGAATTATACCAAATAGGTTTTGTTACACTCAACCGACTTCTGTCTATTTAATTTTTAATATATTTTCCAATTTCTGAATTAGATGTATATCGGGATGCCAATTATGAATAAATCGTACAAAGTTCATATTTTTTCTTGTTTTGTTCAAGTACTAACCCAGTCATGATCAAGAACTCAGTTGTTGTCAGTAATGTAGACAATATTTCTGGCGTTTTTTCGATCGCTGGAACTGGAATTGGAATCTCTTTAAAATGACGTCATAAGTAACGATTAAAAGGAAAAAAAAACATATATCGAATATTTATAGGCGATGTTACTTTTACTGTTTTGTTTCTTTTGTATTGCAATGACGTCAGTTATTTTGAGTCTTTCTTTATGGTGAATCCTATAGAATTTCGTATTATCTACTAAAATTTATTTGAAGTCAATAATTGTATTTTTTTTTTTGTGATGTGATGTTCAATATGTGCATGAATTGTATTAAGTTTCGAAAAGTGACAAGTCATCCAACGAGAGAGTGTTGTGCGTTTATGGCCAATGTAAGAAAAAAAAGCGTATAAAATACGAGCGCAAATATTCTGAGATTTTAAAATACCTCTTGAAATTACCTACCTCTCTTTAACATCACCTTAATTTATTTTATTTGTATTTTACGTTTGTTCCGTTGTTTTTTTATTTACTTATTTTTCCTAATTAATTAATTAATTAATTAATTCTTTCTTTCTTTCTTTCTTTCTTTCCCTTCCTCCCTTCCTTCCTTCGTTTCTTCAAATCCGTCCGAAGTAAGCAGTTATTCAAAATCCGGGTTCTTGGGGATTTTAGAAGTATGGAACTCAAGAAGAATGTGCTTTATTTTAAGTTTTTTTTCATTTCTTAACTATTTTTAATTTACCAATTTAACCCTGTAAATAAAAATATCTAAAACAGAAAAACAAAAATTCTTCAACCTTTCGTGAATGGAATGCATCATTGTTCAATAACAACATTGTTTCTTTCTTTACCAAAAAATTATCAAAAAATAATCCTCCATGAAAAAGAGCTATTGGTGATATACAACCGATATAATTCTCAATAAAGCCTATTATTCTTCCTCCGAAAGATTAAACGAGCATCAATAGTTTGTTAGGTAGTTGAATCCCCCGGCCTCGTATTCGTTTTCTCCGTTTTATAATCGCCGGGATATTACCGCTAAACTCGTTAAGAGCACTTTACTTTGCCTATTTAAGATAACAACGTCATCGCCTCTCTTGGACGGAAGTTGTTGAATGCCGTTGACGCCAATCCGGAAGTAGAAAACTCCTTATGGTAGATAGGGTCGCGCAAAGCCTACGAAATAGAATCGAAATAAAGTAGAAGAGAAAAAAGTAAAGAAAAAATAAGAAAAGAGAGAAATTGAAGGCAATTTCATTTCGGGAAGCTTCATTTTTTGTTGTTGTTGAAAGCTGTGTCCTTTGTTTTATAATAGCGTGAGGAACAGATATGCATTAAAAAAAATTGTGAGGCTATTTTTATCTATGAAAATGAGTGCAAAATCGAATAAAAGGGATGTATTTATCCACTGTATACGTTTGTGAGGTAATCATTCCATGTGGTAGTAGGTCAGAGTGTCGAAGGACAAAGTGTCAAAGGAGAAAATGACGGATGGACATAATTTTGGAAAGACATAGTTTCAAAAGGACAAAATGTCGGACAAAGAAAAAACGAAGATATCGTCATTATTTTAAAAACTCGGTTCAAATAATCAATTAATTTATTCTAAACTTTTTATTGTCGTACTTTGACATCATTTAATAAATAATAGCTTTAAAAATGTTCAAGCCTTCTTAATCATCAGTTAGCGGTTTGATTTGGGGGTAATGGTTAATTAAGCTCTATTTTTTTAACAATTTGAATTGAACCTCTTTTCATATATAGATATTCATTGGGAAATATAAATAAGAGCCTATCTCACAATTCAGTTTATTTACTAAATTCAGTTATTCTTTCAAGTTTTAAAAGTCATAATTCGAATCTATATTTTGAAATTTTGTTAAAAAAATTAGGATTTATGTAGAAAGATTTTATTTCATCGGAGGTTTTTATATTAGTTTAAAATTTAAAAATATTTACCAGCAGGATACTTTCATGCCAAGTAAAAGATATTCTGTTGTAGCCACATTTCTGACCTTTCGTCATTTCGTCAATTCGATTCTTTTTCTGTTCGGTATTTTAACCATTCGACATTTTTTTCGTTCGATTCTTAGTCCGTTCGACATATTGTGCATTCTTCATTTTGTCTTTCCACATTTTGCCCATTCGCCATTTTGTCTTTTGACACTTTGTCCATTCGTCATTTTGTCTTTCGACATTTTGTCAATTCGCCATTTTGTCAATTCGCCATTTTGTCTTTCGAAACTTTGTCCATTCTTCATGTTGTCTTTCGACACTTTCTCCTTTGCATGCTGCATGTGAGTGCATATAGATCGTTCCGAAACAATGTTGTTAATTAAAAGAAATAAGACAGAAAGCAGAATATAATGAAATTGGACAAATTGTGGTTCGATTTGAGAGAGATCTGGTGCCATAACAAAAATGACACAAGCATGTATGACGCGCATCTCTTCCAACATGTGGAAAAATGAGTGAAATTACCTGCGCTTATGGTGGCAGCCGTCGGACGTAGAAACTGAGTGGCTGACAGATTCTAGTTTTTCAAAGCGAGGCTACTCCAGGACACTGATTTTGTAGTCTTTTGTAACCGGAAGGGTGGGATGCGGAGGTCTGCTCTTTGTTACTTAAGGTCTGTCTTCTCTTTGCTTTCACCGATCTTTATTTTTTGGGGAAGGACATTACGCGAACGGAGTCGTTTTGCGCGCACTTCTCGCTATTATTTGATCCCTGTATAAAATTGGGACCGGAGACTAGGCGTGTTTCGCAATCACTTATTGTCGAACCGACTTTAATTACTTTTGTGTCGAAAAATTTTTCGACAAACAAGAAATATATTGTTTTTTTTTGCGCATTTAAGCATGCAATGTTTAAGGTCAGCAATCGGTACACTACAAAACACACGAAAGCATTTCAATTATAGCAGCAAACATTAATGTATATAAAAATCAAGCGAGCAGTAAAGAAGCAGAAAAAAAGCAAGAAATGAAAATAGTGAAAAGACATTACATAGTTGAAGTCATAAATATATATATATATATAATTTGTAGACATATTTAAACGTCTTCAGGAATTTATATTGCCTGCTATTGACGTGCATATATATATATATATATATATATATATATATATATATATGCATTATACATATACCTATACGTCTTCACGAGATATGTCGTTGACGTGTATATATATATATATATATTTTTTTTTTTTCTTTTTTAGACATATTTAAATGTCTTACATTGCCTGCTGTTCTGCTGTTGTCGTATATATATATATATATATATATATGTACAAATAAATATATATATATATATACACACATATATATATATCGTGTGGACATATTTTTACGTCTTCAGGGAACCTGCATTGCTTGCTGATGATATATATATATATATATGTATACACACACACATATATATATATGATGGATTTTCCCGTCAAGTTCGACGTATGAGGTTCCGACCACCACGAACTAATTATCTAGACGCCTATGACGGGCTCGAGAATTGCACAAAAGACCACAAACAGTAGAGGAAAATGTATTTTATCCAAGTGCACCAGGAACACTGTTAGATGTCTTATTTTGCTTTCTCGTTTTATGTATTTGACTGATGGCTACTTCTCAATGCATCCATACTAATGTTGTAGTTCTTTAGCTCCAATGCGAACAGAGCTGTTTTTCTTTCTGGTGCTGAGTTATTGTCCTGGAGAGTTCTTACATTCCAAGTGCCAAGATGAAGTTGATATTATTTCGTAGTGTTTTTCGCAGCAGTCGGATATGTGTGGAACTAATTAGATGTAGTTGTCAGAAAACCAACACAATGATTTGTTTCAAGTGGTGAAGGCTTGTGTCGTACCATCCACACTTTTGGGATGTGTAGACAAAAAAGTAACGGTACCAAAGACTTGCCATGGAAACTCCGAACGACAATTCTCATGTGTTATTATCGCGGAGTTTAACCTCTACGGATCAGAGTCAATATCAGCCAGTACACGCCTCTCGGCAGAAACATGTAATATAATGACCGGGTTAAGGTGTCATGATTATTCCTTCCCATCTGAAATCGTTTCATCGTGAAACCAACGTTAAAAGAATTGTTAACCAAAGCTCAGAGAGACTCCTTTCACATTCCTCAGGGGCAGCAAGCCCGCGACAGTTCCCAACCTGGTACTTTACATACCCCGCGATATATATATATATATATATATATATATATTGTACACATATTTATACGCCTTCACGAAACATGCATTGCCTGCTGTGACGTATATATATATATATATATATATATATATATAAATGTTTGTGTGCGTGTGTGTCTGTGTGTGTTTTCTAAGCGTACATATACGTCATTATGAAACTTATATTGCCTGCTGTCAACCTATTTATCCGTTTTAAAGACACCGTAGAATGTCAGTCCCTTGCATTTGATACAAACTACGTAACGCTTAGTGCTATTTTCATACCAGATTAGACATCGAGTAGCGAACAATATGACCTGTTTGTGTCGGTTTTTTATTTTTTATAATTATATTAAGTTTCGTGTGTGTCGTTTTGCTTAGTTTGTACTGCAGAGTATCTGACAAAACCGTCTGCGTTTTTATAACGATTTATTTCCAGTAAATGGTAATTTCATTTTTTTTTTTTTTACCAAACAGGTCAGCACTGTTAGGTAACATCTCTACAATTGATAGGTTATTAGTATTCGTTTGTTTTCTTTTTGTATAAATTCTAATGTTCGAGGTGTTAGATTATAAAAAAATCACTTCATTATACAAAAAAAAAAAAAAAAAAAGACCTAAAAACAGCCGAGAATAAAAATTTTAAAAC